CCTGCCCATGGCTCAGCAGCAAGAGCTGCTCAGCTGGGGCACAGGCTGAGAGTGGTGCAGAGATGTGCACCCTCACCACAGCGAAGGATGAAAAAATTGAGGTAGATATTGCTGCCAGAAACTCTCATTCCTGCCAACAAGTCATCCTTTAGTAAGCATTTCAGTTGACCTGTCCTCTGACATGCTCCTGATTGAAGGGTGAATACTGCAAAAGTGCTGAGAGCAGATGATAGGGGCTTTTTAAATGCTCTGGGGTACTTGGAAATAAATTCATACTCCTCCAAAAGTCACAGTTCAGGGACCTTCACATTGAGTATTATATCTTAGTCTGATACATGAGTAATGAGATAGGGTGCCAATGCAAACATCTAACAGAAACCAGAGCATGTTTTGGAAAAATTATATACTTTTAATAATAATGATAAGGGAAATAAAATTTCATCGACTCAGTGTTTCATCCACAGACAAGTGAGTCTTACAGTCAATAAAGAGGGCATAGCCATTTTTGACATCTTCCTGCCACCATTTCTCTGGTAAGAGTAAACCATACCTTTTTCCGTTTTTTCCTGATATTCATGTTACAGACCAGTATGATCTATGCTATACTGTCACCAGTACACAAACAAAGGATACAGCTATCCTAGGAAAGAGATTCTATAAAACATCGCTAATTTGAAAAAGAAAAAATTGGATTTTTTTATCCTAAGCTAGGAAAAAATAGGGTTAACAATTTTCCCCCCATACAATTTCTGTAAGATAAAAACTAAGAAAGCTAACACTGAAAAGGTTATGATTGTTTGTAGTGCTACTCCACATAATGGTATGATCTTTGAATTTTCATGTTGATATTGTTATTTCCTTCATAATTATTAATTGTAAAAAAACTATCTGTTGTGTAAGTTTTTGCTGGCTGTTAACAGTACTGTGAGTCTGGAGTTCTAGATATCTGGTTAATTTGAGAGAAAACAACTAAAACCTTAGCTTCAGTAACAGACATCCACTGTTCATCAGCAAAAGTTTCTTTATGTTACTACAGAATTTGTCAGTAGCATGAGAAAATAATGTATCTTTTGATTACTTAGTAAAGGCTTCCAGTATTTGCTTTAAGTTAGTGTTATATACTTCTTTTCTTTAGTTTTATTACTGATGTAGTGGCTGATTGAGCTGTGTACAAAACAAAACCCAAGATATAAGATGATCTTAAAATCATGTGTTAGGAAGGCAAGGAAAAGGTGCCAATCGCTTTTGTGTTCTAGAACACAGGTGGATCATAAAACCTCATCGTATTCTCTTTGATCTGGTCAAATTACAGCCTCCTTAGAGTGGGAGGAAAGAGTTGGGACTTTAGCAGCCTATTTGATTTTTAACATTCATGTGATAAGTTTGTCATGGTTTGGTTGTAGTTATGGGATGGCTTAATTATAGGTTGATCCAGCAAAGTTACCTGTATTTAAAGAGTTGTGTAATGCTTCCTTGTTTGCCCAAGACTACTTTCAGTCTAATAATTTCAGGTGATAAAGATCATTTGCATTGAAAATCTAAGTTGCTTGGCATTAGGTGGAGGGCAACTTTTTTCTCAACAGCATATATAATTTTAGCTCAAAAATCTAATGCTATATTAGAAAGTGGAAAAAAAAAATCACATACACGCACACACACACAGCCTTTCCTGTTCAAAAGTTTCAGTGTCTCTAGTTTTTTCAACAGAAGTTTGACTATTTCCATGGGGTTATTCTACTGTCAGGTATATGTCTATTGGTGTCATACCTGTCCCACTTGATCTAATTGTGAGACAGCCTATAAGTGCCTGTTGGATTATATGCAAAGAATGACCTTTCTGAAATGTGCTTTGTCTAAGGATCTTTGAAGCTGACCAAGGCTTTCCTTTCAGTGGCCACTGTAACCATAGGGCTTCTAACTGAAATTAGATACAGAGGTGGGATTCATTTGACCAAACAGAAACCTTTATCTTCAGATTGAATGAATCATGATCCAAAACTCCATTATCTAAATCTCTGCTAACTAGAAATTCATTGCATGATGATTACCTCGTTTGTAGACATCTACATTTTTAAAATGCAAATTATGCTAAGTTACTTGTGTTTTCCTCACAGACCCTGTACTGGTCTGTACGGTGCAGACAGACCACTCAGATTCAGATTACACAGAAGCTGGACTGCAAGAAAAGAGAGGAAATTGCAAAAGAGGTGTTTAACATACAGACAAAAAAAAACTAAAAAAAAAAAACCAAAAAACATGTCTTTTGAGAGGTAAGAAATGCACTCACACAGAGACAGAGACATGTCCTGAGGCCAAGACTGAGAACAAAAGCAAAGGGGAAGAAAAAACTAGGATAAGAAAGGGATCTGGAGGCTAGAACTAAAGAAGAAAAGGCCCAAAATAGTATGAGGAGGCTGGGATCAGAGAACAGAACAAATTGCTTGGGGAGTTGCTTGAAAATAAATAATTTTATTTCTCCTTAGCATATGAAGCTAGTACTTTGGAGTTGCAGATTTCTTCAAGATATTTGCCAATGGAAAGAATTGCATACAGAATTTTCAATGTGCCTCAGCCAAAATTATATTCTAGATGTTTCAAAACTGTTCAAAAGAATGTACTTCTTCTGTGGATCTCATTGTTTAACTTTGCTGATCATCAGCATTACCAGGGCAACTTTAAATACAATGAATAGGATTTTTATACATAACTTTTTTTTTTATGTCACAGATTTATCTGAAGATATTACAGAAGTTTGAGTATTCACATTGTTCCACCTGAATATATACACTGAAGGGTAATAATCTATATATATTTCAGTGGAAATCAACAATAATTAATGCCAAAATAGATACTGTCCCCTAAAAAAAAGATAAATCACAAAAAGTTGTAAGACCAAAACAAAAACCATAGCAAACCATGATAGATTTTATGGTAGTCTATTTTCAGTAGCAGTCTGTTAGACAACCTGGTGCCCTTCTCATCTCAGGTACATTTTTGTTCTAATATGATAGTCCTTGTAACCTAAAACACTTGGCTTATATTCATTCAGAAGGCTTTTTTGAATGGGATTAAAAGAGCAAGAACAGCATGTTGTGTAACAGTCTCCTGATAAAAGAATGCTTTTCCCCCCTTACTCTCCCCCTAGGAAAATACATAAAACCAGGAAAAATGCAAGATCAGTGAGAGACTTTGAATCCCATTTTCATTGTTATGCTTAAGTATAGCCCCAACCTGAGGTTGACTGAGGTTGAGGTGACTCAGTTTCAGGTCCTTTCTTTTCTTTCCCCTCCCACCAGTTTCTCCACAGCTCAGTCACCCCAATGCAGTGGATTTAGCCACTTTCCATGGCCAGCACACAACCACTGAGCTCAGCCCTCTGATCCTGGCTGCTCAATGAGGGAGCATGGAGTGTCACAGACCCTCTCCATGCTGCCTGTGTGACCTTACTCCTTCTCCTCCTCCTCCTCTCAGTCCCACAGCACTAAAAAACACAGGGCTGGAAAGAGGGGCACCCTTTGTATGAGCTGAAAAACACCAGTGGCATAAATATTGACAAGGAGTGAATATTAGGGCAGGTTCACTGCCCTCAAAGCTGAGGAGGAATGAGGCAGGCTCTCAAGAGACGCATCTGCGCCCACTGACCCTGAGCCATGCAGAAGCACCAGGAGGAAGCAGCGAGTGACTCTTGCTTCGAGGGACAGATAGACCCAGCTGCCCACTAGACAATTTTGCTGCTTGCCCACTGAGAATTTATGAGAGAGGATTAAAGAGTAGATAGTGTGGGTGACAAGGTACTGAGTGTCTGCTGTGCATCCCCAGACCAGGAGGAACAAGTATATGAGGCTTTCCATGGGCAGCCAGAAGCAGCCTCTCATCTACAGACTCTGGTCCTCATGGGGCATCTTAACCATCCTGATACCTGCTAGAATGGCATAGGCAGAAGCTTGGGTGCTTGGAAAGCACAGCTTGGCAGAATAGGATCTGGAGCTGCTGGTGGCTACTGTGAGCCAATGTGCTTTTGCCACAAAGGAGGCCAATGACATTTTGGGCTGCATGTGGAGCTGCCACCTGGTCCAAGGAAGTGATCCTTCTCTTCTAATCAGCACAGGTGAGGCCACACTTGGACTGTTGTGTCTAATTCTGGGCTCCTCAGTACAAGAGACATGGACATACTGGACAGAGTCCAAGGAAGATACAATAAACGATGAAGGGACTGAAGCTTCTGAGGAATGTGAACTGTTCAGCTTGGAGAAGGTCCAGGGGTGATCTTATTAATTTTTACCTGTACCTGGAGTGAAGGTGCATAGGTGGTAGAGCCAGGCTCTTTTCAGTGGTGCCCAGAACACAGGCAGCACTGTCTGAAGACCAGGGAGCACATTTTTACTTTGAAGATGACTGAGCACTGGAACAGGTTTCCCGGAGAGGCTGTAGTCTCCATCCTTGGAGATCCTCAAAATCCACATGATCCAGAACAACCAGCTGTAAGTGGCTATACTTGAGCAAAGAGGCTGGACCAGAGGACCTGCAGAGGTCCCTTCCATCTCAGCCATTCTGTGAATTTCCCTTTCCTAGAAGCTGGATAACCAAACTTACCTTGCACTTGTCTCCTGGTCATAATATCATAAACTCCACTATACTGATATTCTGCAGCTTTACATGCCAAATGTGTTAAAATTTGGGTAATCTGCTGCTACTGGTTTTCAAATGGTTTTTATGTGGTCTCCAAAGCAGGCACTGTGTATTTTTTTTTTGTAAATTATCATCTAGATGACAGAATAATGCTTTGTACTTTTAATATCCTGAATTTGCCAAATATAAACTCCAGCTCGCCCCTCCCACAGCTCATGCTGCAAGGACAAGTACTACCTGCATTACAGAACTAGAGTGGCACAAAACCACCTGCATTAAAATTTAAAAATCCAATCCCCTTCAGAAACAGGCATACTTCTCTTCATAAACTGCTTCACGCACAAGAAATGAAGAGTTTTTATAGAACATCCTTTTATTTTGCAAAAAATTTATTACTCACTGTTGTACAAAATATACCTAAAAATATGATGTTAAGATATTTTTGACACATCTAGGTAGATTGCAGATTACCTAATTGAAGGGAAGAAATCTTCACAATTTTTAAGGCAATTCAAGACAGTAACAACAAGTGAATTATATATTTTGAAATATTCCATTTATAAGACTTACACAAATGTTACCTGGTACTTGATATCTGTAAACTTTAGTGCTTTATACAAAGTTTCCATTCACATAATTAGAAGAAAAAATTAAAATAATGTTTTGCAGTTCTTTTTTTAAAGCACCTCACTTCTAGTCTTGGTTTTACAGAAATAGCTGGTTCAACTCAGAATTTTACTTTTTTAAGAGACAAAGGAGTAGAAGTGATTCCAGATTTCTACTTTGTTTAAAAATGAAAAAAAAAAGTAATTAATCTATGTTTGCTGAAATGTAAGAGAAAAAAAAAAAGAAAAAAAAACAAAACCAAATAAAACATTTTAAAGGTAAATTAGATTAGAAAAGGATTATTTTGATTTAAATAATGTATTATTTTCACTCTAGGATGGTAAGTTGGCAACCACCTGTTTAAGGCAGCCAACACTGATTCAATTTAAGCTCATACAAATTTGGTCTATTCTTTTAGAAAAGTACTATTACTATATTTTATGAGGGAAGAAAGCATACTCACAGGGATTTCTCTACACGACCCTCCAAGTAATTTTCCAAAGAGTGCAGTTGTTATTTATCCTAGGTCCTTCTGAACCATAGGACTTTTATATAATTTAAAATACAAACAAACAAAAATACCACCAAACATTAAAAGGGGGAGGGGGAGACATTACTGTTACCTTAAAAAGTGTATAGCAAATAGCTAAACATAAAGGTGCAAGACACAAAGCAGCAAGAAAATCACTAGTGGACAGACCTTCACCTGACATAAAGTCAGCATAGCTCCACTGGCATCAGCAGAGAAATTCTGACTTTTATCAGTCACAGATCTGACTGTCCATGTACAGAAAATTTTGTTTATGTTAGTGATAAAGATAAGCAGTGTTCAGAAGAGAAGTGTTAGCCCACATTTTTTAAATGAAACAAGTTTGTAACACCTTGCTATCCAGCTAGTTTGCTGCTGGTGACTGTCGTTCTTGCCACTGGCAGTGTATTTACTTCAGGATCAGTTCATTACCACTTTCAAACAATACAGTAAAATATATTTAACACTGGTCTATGAAGTCCTTAACCACAGCTAGTTACCAGAAATATTCTGAAGCCTCTTTACAGTGTGAAACAAAGTATTAAAAGTATTATTTTATGAAGTTGATAAGTTTTTATACTGTTAAGGGTTTTCACTGACCATTAACCATATATATATATATATATATATATATATATGTGTGTGTGTGTGTGTATATATATATATACATATATATAATATCATCTATGGAATGAACTGCAACCACTGGAAGTCAGCAGTAACTGAAATTTAGAGCAGCAAGACTCTTGGTTGTTAGCAATTTTTCCTTTTACAGATCATTAGCTATAGTAAATGTTTAAAAATATCTCTAAGGCGTATGTTTACAGAGCAAATCCTAAAAGCAGACTTCTAGCTCCAGAAATAAGCAATTGCACAAGTTTCTCATAGGCACCGAGTTGTTCTTTTAAGGCACAAAAGAATTCCCGGAGGACAGAAGACAGATTGCTTAACCAGGAGTGCAAACATTAAAAAAACACTTAAAACCTGGGAAGCAGAGGTGGAATTCCACCTGCTGCTTATGGCAGCATTCAAGTCCCACTGCTGTCATCTGCCAAAGGTATTTCGGACTTTTGTGTGTTTGTGTGTATATATATATATATAGTGTATATGTGTGCTTAATCTAGAACAGTAACAAATGGGATTCAGATGGTTTCTGCCAGAGATGTGTGTAAATGCTGACCTCTACATCTACCCCAAATTACACTGAAACAGAGAGTTTCTCCCAGCACAATTCTGCATCTCAATAAAAAGGTATCTCTGAAACACATTATTAATGCAGTGTACTCAATCCATTTGAGCCGTATCTTCTGCCAAGCTCCACTTCGAAAAGAAACACTTTAATGAAGTCCATAACAGGGAAAGTAGAAAAGGTAGTGGTAGCTACACTGGACAAAACTCTCGGCAGTGGTCATCATTTCTGCAGTGATACTATGTCAAAACTCACAAGAAACTGAGGTACAAACTTGTGTGAAGTAAACATGAGATTTATATTGCATTCCTTTGAATTATGATAGTTTCCTCTATTGCGTGATTTTTTTATTTATTTTTTTTTTTAATCTCTTATTTCCTTAAAAGAAAAATACATCCTCGCATACAATGCTGATACCCTATGTGGTGACACCATAAATCCCTTAGGATAGCAAGTTTGATGGGTAGTAACCCATTAGGAGAAAAATATATTTTTGAATATTATTTTACATATATACAATATATATATATATATTTAATTTTCAATCAAAATGTAAAGTTCTCTAATATATTCATGAGTATTTTTACGTCCAAAATGAAAAAATATTTCGTATCTCAGTTCATATAAGTTAACAAGGTATTTGATATCCACCAACAATATGATTTGCTTCATTTCTACAAAATTAAAAGAGAACAAAGAAACAGGAAGTTATAAAGTTTTCCTTCTCCAAAGCCATATATAGTAAGATTTTGAAGCTGGATAATTAATTAACAGAACACCAAGTTTTGCATTGTGAGCAATCACAAAGAATGCAAAATGTTATCTAAGTGGAAACTAGCATTACTATATTAACCTAAAGAAAAAATATTTTGAATCCCTTTTTTCTGATAGAATGTATCCAGTGTAAGAAAATGTAAATTTAAAGCAAGAGTTATTTACACTCTTACCAGTCTGTCTTAATTTTGAAAAACCTCTACCCCCCTCAATTCCAAAGTACCCTGTATCACAAAACTATATCAGCCACTTATTTACAGGTCTTTTTCAGCACTGTGAAAGGCACATTTATCTTTTGATGCATGTTTCTGCTAATGTCCTAAACTTGGGTTCCAACTGATCTAAGAAGTCAAGTGCCTCTTCTTCATGCTGATCACTGCAGCAGCCTACAGAGCCAGCCAAGGATCCTTTTCCTTCATAGTTATATGAAAGGAGATAATCTTCAGAATGCTTCTGTTCTTCATCCTGTCTGCATAGGTGCACCTTCTGGATAGGAACAGAACAAATCTTATTATTTTCTTAAATTGTTATCCTAAACATATTGCAAAAAAAAAAATTTCTTTTTGATTTACCTTTCATTCAATTATTTTTAATCAGAGTGTGTCCTCTAATGGATTCCTACATACAAAAAATGCACATGATTGGTCTATATCATTACGACTACAAAATGTAAGTAATAAAGAAATAATTTCTATTAATCATGTATGTAACAATAAAAGAGGAAGAACCTGTTTAAATAACCTGTCAAGCAACTAAAATTCACTGAACATTAAAAGACTGATTTATACATAACTAGTTAGGCAAGTAGTGAGAGTTTTTTGATCTCCAAGAAATGGAGTGACTACATTTCTAATGCTGTACATTCATTCCTGCTCCACTCCATTGCTAAGTGTGAGGTTTAAATTAGCACAAAGGAAGCAGTTAGAATAAAAGCAAACAGACATCCTCAGAAAAACTCACAAAAGCTTCAGTAATTATTCTAAATTATTCAAAATGAAAAATAGCACACTGCCTGTCATTTAAGCCAAGAGAAGAAAGTAATTTACACTTATGTCTGAAATATATCAAGGATTACTCCTTAAAGAGCAATATTCCAAAGGGGATGCAGAGGAGCAAAGGAAAGGAAAAATTAAATGAAACCAAAACCAGAAAGCCACCTTTCTAGCACATTTAGACATCTTCCTTGAAAAGCCTGCATATATTGACCATAACCTACACTTCAAAGAAAATCAGTTTCAGAATACTTACTTCGCCTAAACGAGGATGTGTGAAATTATGCCACTCTGAGTAGGAGTATCTACAAGTATCCATCATAGGCTGTCCTCCTCCTTCTTTAACTGATCCCAGAGTCTGATGTCCACCTCCCTTGACTGATTCCAAGGTATGCCCTCTTCCTTTTACCATTTCAAATGTTTGCTGCTCTCCTGTTTTTACTCCATAACCTCCTTGATCACATGTATTTTGCAGAGGAATTATATTGTGATCCTAAACAAAACAAAATAAAACAAAAACAAAACTAAACAAAACAAAAAGCAGTAGTGAGGACTTCTTTTTTCCTCCTCATTTATTTGTCCTTCTTAATTCAAAAGAAGAAACAGCAATCAGAAACTCTCACAGCTGAAATTTGGGAAGTCTCTGTCCTGGCACCATGATATCTTGAACAAAAGGCTATCCTTAGTACTTAGTATCTAAAGATCAGTAAATAATCTTGGGAAAGGATACTATGACAAGAGAGAAGAGATCTGCATTTAAATACAATATGATATCAAAAAAATGGAAGTTTCATCCAAGTGTAATCCATAATTCCATAATGGCACTACATTACACTTCATAGGCAACAAGAAATTTGACTCTTGCCACCATAACGATTTCTTGGTTTTCAATATGAAATATTATTTTTAAACTTATCTCCTCTTCTTAGGGAAGAGGGGCTGGAGGATGACAGAAAAGAGGTAGAATCTAAAGAGCTCAGTTCTTCTGCATGAATGCAGTCCCAGACTGAACTATGTTCATGGTAGACTAAAAGAAGTTTAGATGCCACAAGCAAGAAAAATTACATGAATATGGACTGTTCATGAAATCAACTGCATTTGAGGTAATTTTTCAGGAAAAGGGCAGAAATTGCACCTGCAATTTACACTATAGCAGGATATATACGGGATATATACAGGATAGCAGCTATGTGCTATCCTTCTCCAACTAAAAATAATGTTTTGCCATTAACACATATTCAACATAGGCAAAATAATTAATTTCCATCTAATCTCATTGTTTAAAATGACTGGAAATGTTATTAAAATGTTCACCTGAAGCTTTCAACCAAATCATTAAAATCTGGAAGAATTACAAGTAGCCAGCCTAATGACTACAAGGCATGTTTAAATAAATGTATATAGTACTACCACCTCTACCTAAAGTAAGAATTTTCAAATTCTTGTTAAATAGCAAAGTACATCTAATGATCCTTGCCTTGATTGCTTATTTCCTTTATCAAATCATTTACTTGTAGGTGGTCCTGTTCTCAAACTGCAATGCTATGGACATCTCAATTGCAAGTTTCTATGTTGATAAAAGCAAGACAACTCACCATCACTTCTTCTCCCGGAGCTTCTGTGTTTGAAATGATTAAATTGTGATTGGCACAATCATCAGTCACCTGCCTGTGCATTACCCCAGCACCGCAGCAGCCACAAATTGTGATCAGGATTACTATGGAAAAGGAAATAATACTATAAATTTTACCTCACAATGGTATCTACTTATGTTGGATAATGAATTTTAAGGGCCTAAGCATCAAGAGCGGTTTAAAAAAAAAAAATCATTTCCAAAAATGCCCATACTTAAAGCTTTATATATTCACTTTTTCTTTTTTTCAAACAGTATAGAGAGTAATCACTGCATTGTTGAATTATTTCATTCTTCTAAAACACGTCTGGTTTTTCCAAAAGAAGTGCAAGCATCCTTTATGAAAGCACTGTGATTCACACAATTTCACAGTAATGAAAAATTTGGTCCAAACCCAGGTGAAAAATCGTGTCTTATGCCTACAATCAGATTGTACATACTTTTCATGTCTGAATATGCAAATGTCAAATTATATCATAAGGAACTAATAGTCAAGCTGAATGTCCCAAAACCAGAAACTTCTGTTTCACAGGAAAGGTCAGCAGAACCCTGGAGGACTTCCAACATTATGCTATAGAACAATCTTATTTAATCCCTTGTATTCATTTTATTCCTCTTAACAATACTACTTTTTCTTGTCAGAGACTCACCCAAAAATGACTGAATAACAGAATCATGATCACCTAATACCTCTCCTAAAGAAATGACTAAACCTTTCATCCACTCTGTTTTCTTCATTTTTCAAATTGTTAGCTTAGAAATAAAGCCCATGAGGGAGAGAACAGTTCTGCCTATCTGCCCACTGAGCAAACTGATCTCTGAACATACAAACTTCTGTGAAAATTGGCCAAGAGCCACCTTCAAGCTAATTTAGCTTCTGTACCATCAGCTGTCAGAGAGATATGCAGTCAGTGATTCCAGAAGGTTGCCTCCTGATGCTGACAGATGGAAAGAAGATATCCATGACACAGAGAATATATAGGGTAAAACCTATCCACAGTAAAATAAAGGACTTATTCGTAAGTGATGCAGTCAAGAGGCAGTGGAAAAGAGGTAGGTGACGTTTCACACAGTTCCTGTACTGTATGTTCCCACATCTGAAAATTCCACCTTCAGGATATATCCCAAATTTGGGTACCTGCCCTGTTGAGATAAAACATTGAACTAGCTAGCCTTCAAAACATCTCCAGGTACCAGTGCTCTAGCTACTTAAGTAAGAGCAGCTACCTGACATTCAACAGGAGCAAAACAGTTTTACTATGACCAGAAAAAATAGATAAGAAAAAAGGGAAAAAAAAAAAAAAACTAAACCAAATTCTGAAATACTAGCTACTGTAGCATGTCCTCTATGGTTTTTAAGGATGTTATTAGTTACACTATATTTGATTTTGGTAAAAAAAAAAAAAAGCCAACAAAAAACAACAACTTGTTTTTGCTTTTATATATCACCGTCATGATCTCACTGGTTAACAGCATTATCCTTCTCAGAATCTGTTAGTTTTTAGGCAGCTCCAGTGGCACAACATATATATATATTCAAGATTTTGGTCTGTTGTGAGCTATTCAATCTGTCCCTTAACGTTTCTGCACCTCAGATAGGGCAACCCTGGTTGTGCATACAAACTGGGGAAAGAGACACTGTAGAACAGAGCTGTGGAAAGGCACCTGGGGGTCACTGGCAAGTTGAAGATGAGTCAGCTGTGCCCTGGCATCCAGGAGGGCCAAGCGTGTCCTGGGGGGCATCAGGCACAGCATGGCCAGCTGGGCAAAGGAGGGGATTGTCCCGCTCTGCTCTGCACCGGAGCAGCCTCACCTGTGTGCAGTTCTAGGTGCCACAATATATGGAAGATTTTCAGCTATTAGAGAGCGTCCAAAAGAGGGCCATGAAGATGGTGAATAGCCTTGAGAGGAAGCTGTATAACGAGCTGCTGAGGTCATTTGGTCTGTTCAGCCTGGAGGAGACTGAGGGGAGACCTCATTGCAGTCTACAATTTCCTCAGGGGAAGCACAGGGGCAGACACTGATCTCTTCAGTCCCGTCACCAATGACAGGACTCAAGGAAATGGCATTAAGCTCTGTCTGGGAAGGTTTAAGCTGGATATTAGGAGGAGGTTTTTCACCCAAAGGGTGGTTGTGCACTGGAACAGGCTCTGCAGGGAAGCAATCACAGCACCAAGCCTGACAGAGTTCAGGATGTGTTTGGACAATGCTCTCAGGCCCATGGCATGATTCTTGGTGTCCTATGCAAGGCCAAGATTTGAACACAATGATCCTGATGGGTCCCTTCCAACTCAGTATATTCAATGGTTCCATGATTATATGGGGTCTTGTAAAACCCCTTGTGAAATCCAGTGTCTCAGATACTCCATGTTTTAATCCACAACACAAAATGCTCTGGAAAATTGATTTCAGCATTCCTAGAAACAGAAATGTTTCTAGAACTCACAAACTTTTTTGAAGTCTTTTGGTTCAAGTGCTAAATGCAGGGTTTTTTGGCCTTACTTACATGAACATACAGAACATCTCACAAAAAATATACTTAAACAAATAAACAAAAATCCACACAAAGTAACTACAGCACAAGATGAGAGCAGGAAGCCTGTGATACTGGTACAAATAGAGCAGGTACATTAAGTCAGTGATGACACCTATACAACCGTCAAAATAAAAAAGTTTGAATCAAGTTTGAATCATGTTCTCAGCTAATTTTATAATAAATTAATTGTACTTTGTGTTTAAAAAAATGTACTTACGCAGCAATAATAATGATCCTAAGATCATTGCAAGGATGGCCCAGAGACCAAGGGTAACATTTCCTCCAGACAGCTGACGAGTTCTGCCATCACATTCACTTGGAGTAACACAGTCACAGAGGTTAACTCTTACGGTGTTCTCTCCTATCTTTCCTCCGTTATCAATCACACTTACAGGAATTTCATAAATTCCATATGGAATATCACTCTTTGGTGAAAGATACCAAGAATTATCTGTAAAAAAAAAAGACAAAACCAGATCTATGGTCAACAATTCTTGGAACTCAGTTGTCACAAATGTGACCATAATCACAATTTTCCTTTCTGTTACAGCTATACTGCTACCAAATCCACATTAATTAGTTTCAAGTTAGATTAAATGTGTTTATACAAAACTACATCTTGAAAGAATTTATACTTTCAACACCTTTTAAATGTTAGAACTGACAAAGCATACCTTATACAACCCTCTGAAAACATATGATTTAAAACTCTGAAAATAATTTAGTTCATTATAGGAAATGACACTGCTTAGGCTTACTAGTAAAGTAAACTGGCATTTATTTAAAAGACCTTTGGTAGTGTGATTGGAATTAATTAATTATAAACTTAATTTATACCTCTTCTACTCTTTACTTATATTGCTGTATTCAGTGAGAATGACTATTTCTAGTGAAGGGGAAAAAAAAATTTAATCTCCTGCCCTGTTTAGAGGCAATGATTAATGACCATATTCTTTAAGGGGCAAAAGAAATAATTTGTAAAAAAATGTACAAGACTGACACTGATATGCATAACGATTGTTTTATGATGAAGTATATGAAACAACATGTATCATCCAAATTGTGGTTTTCAATTTGTCTGATATAAACATTAAAATTCTTACATGTCTTTGCTTTCAGACTTTCTTGTCTTTTGCCCTTCTTAGTGAATATTTGATGGAATGCTACAGAATCAGATCCTTTACAACTAATTCATGTCACCATAGTAGCAAATTTATGTGCTGCTCTTGTTGCCATCATCTGGCAACCACCAGGAAAACACCATGAGCTTTAACTTTTTAGATCAACAAATTTCAGGAAACAGCGATTCCTTTGCTAATAAATTGTTTATCTACTTCTATAAAAATTCAAATATATACTAAAGGAGATAGGCTTTCTTTCACCCAGCTCAGCTTTACAAAAAGTCTGCTGGATAACAGCACTAGTAACAAAAAAACTTTCAGAACTTTTTTTTTTGTCAGCCTATAATTAATTTCAGGTAAAATTTCAGTTTCCCAGTTCTCCATCATAATAACAGAATAAGAAAAGTTCTATTTGTCTTTGGACCTACTAGCCATTTCAATGAATTATGAATCTACAGTTGCTCTTCCAGGTGTTGATGCAATGCATTACATCAAGTTTTATTCTTTCTCCTGATCCTCTTACATAGTAATTTCAGACAGTAGTTGATTGCTGACCCAGGGATGCTAGGGACAGATTCTTATTTATGCACTCTTATTAAGACTCTTACTAAGAGACAGATCTTTCTCCTTGCCTTTTGGATGCCAACAGTGTCATCTTCTTTATGGATCCCTTCCCACTAGAGGGGAACTAGAGGGATCACTAGAGACCATCAGTGAGCCCCAAAGCAGCTCCACTGACTACACCAATTCCAAACAGAGATTCATCTAATCTATTCTTGCAGAGCACCCAAGTGAGAGACAGCAAAGCCTCCTCTGGCAGCCTACAGCTGAGTGAGGAGGAGGAGGAAGTTTTAACATACCATCGTGTGGAGTTAGCTTCCACATGGAAGCCAGGTTCCGGTCCGTGATGCGATACACGAAGGGCGCGCTGTAAGGAGCCTCATCGCCATCCTGTGCCGTGAGGCAGATTGGTTTTCTGTCTCTGCACATGATATAATCTGTTTGAGTGAGTCGTGGGAAATTCTTGTTGCCAGGCACAATGCAAACCTGGATTGTTCCAGTGCCCGTTTTACCATCTAGGAGATAAAAATAACTAGTTTTAGCACTTGCTTCTAACATTCACACATTAATTTCTAGTCCAAACTTTCACAATTAAATATCATCAACTGTAAGATCCATGTTTAGAAGTAAGGCGCAAAGCAACTGCTGATTTAGCCAGATAGAGAGGGGGAGTTCTCACAGCTCTTTCTTGGCTGCTTCTCTTTGCTTGGCTGGTTGCAGATGCATCAGCAGCTCCCACATCTCCATGCTCTGCATGTGCAGACTGTATTTTGTTGAGCGTGTGTGTCTGTGTGGGAACACATACTAGTCTAACAGAAGGATAAGCGGAGGAAGAGCTCATAAGCCAAGAGTGAAGGACACTAAGACAAACAGAGACGAAAGCAGAAAGTGAAGATTTCCAGCCTTTTAACTTCTGGAAGGAGAAAATTGATTACACTTTGCCTACTTCCACCTTCCCTGGGAACACAATCACTAAGGAAACAGGGGACTTCTTTCTGTCCTCTACCCTCTAAGTCACCAGGCATTCATCAGTGGCCCGTATTGTATCACCAAAGTCTACATGCAAGAATGAATGAAATCTTCCTCCTAATAACAGTTTTTCCAATACACAAATGGTCAGTGCTTGCATCTGCATTCCAGTGAAATTACATCAAGTCTATTTTTTAATCTTTTTTCGAGAAACAGTTGATTGCAGATGCCTACATCATGTTTACTTTATAGACAACAGAAGTTCTAAACAATTTCAATCTGTATTATTTAAATTTATCTTTAATATGCAAACTTGGACATAGAATTTTTTGCTGCAAGGTCAGTGACTTTTTTTCAAAATGTCCTCTCTACTTTTTCTGTTGCCTAGCTCAGAGCTCAGAGCTAGACAGCTGCCAGGAGCTATCACTTAAAAAAGAACAGTCAAGTAATAGAAGAAACATAATCCAGAGGAAAATATTTCATTTTAAAATTACTAAAAGGATTTTAGTACTCACTTCTGTCTATTGCAAGGACTGTGACATTGCATTGACCTCGTCTCATTTCGCCTAAGTCTCTGTCCAAGACCCTAACAGTTCTGACTTCACCTGATTTGTCATCTATGTTGATCCAATTACACTGGCCAGGTGGTATCCGGTACCTGTGGAGAATAATTTGTCTTGTTTGAGATCCCAAACACAGCACACGTGTGTATGTATGCACACACGTATTTTAGATTCATGTATTCACATACACTGACAGGCATGCAGGTGCACACATGTACGTACAGCCTCAACAACTATTTCCCCCTTCCCGTATCCCACCCATCCTGTACTCAAAAAAAAACCAGTCAATAAGGTTGTTTCATACCTTATGCCCTCACTATTTCCAGTTTCTGGATCTTCTGCTACATATCTCCCAATAGCCGTTCCAATATCTTCGCATTCTTTAACGTCCAAGCGCAGCAGACAGGGTTTAAACACCGGTCCCTCATCCACATCCATCACATGCACAGTAACAGAGCAGGTGCTCTGGGAAAGTTGTTGTGAGTGGGGAGCCAGCACGTAGGGTGCCTCATTGTTCACTCCAATCACCAGGATCCTTTGCTTGGCAGTTTCATAGTCCAGTCCCTGTAACAAAGGTGAGGCGGAGGTTTTTTTCCTTCAAACCTAGCCTAGCACTGTTTTCAACACGCAATTACTGCAGCTGAAACTGTATCACATTTATATACAAAAGAAGCCAGCTGTCCTCAAATAAGCCATGGAGACAGAGTAAAAGAACATGATTTTTTAAAAAAAAAAAAGTTTTAAGTTAGTCAAAGAAAAGGGCCTGAAAAATACCCAAGCAAGCAGAACCACTGCAATATTTTGGATAAATGAGTTACTAAAAGAACAGAAAGAAATTAAATTTAGTGGAGGATTTTCTTCTTCCATATTTAGTCAGTCATTATTTTAGCTTACATATACATATATTTTAGCTTACATTTGCTTTTCACCATTAGTCAGTCACACTTCTTTCTAGTAGTTAGAAATGCATCTGGCAATTTATGGAGTTGACAGTAAGTAGCTACCATTTATTCTTCAGACACATTCTCCAAAGTCATCTTATGCCTTTAATAGAGCTAATATTATCCTAAAGTCATAATATTCTCTACTCTACTACAGCATTACAATAAATGTGAGAAATTTCAGCTGTGTTCATATACCAGGGACAGAGCTTTAGAAAAAGTTCTAATGATTACTAGGAACAAAATAAATAAATAATAATAATAATAAATAATATAATATATATAAATATAGTTATAAATTTTAAAGGATTAATTTTAAAAATTACTAGCATCTCTGCCTCTACAATTTACATGTTCAAATTTTAATAGTAATCTTTTCTGCTCCTTAGAAGTTATCTCCTATGGCAGTTATAAAATATAATGGAAAAGAGGCAAAGATGTGCTGGAGTACAGGTGCAATGGGCCTTTTACCTCACATCTGTGAAACACTTATAACAAATAACTAAACTGACACAAATTCTTCTATGTATATGGACTTCCTCACATGCCAGAAAAGCAAACCTGAAGTCAGTACACTGCAGAATAAAACCTGGAGAGCTTTATGCTGAAATAGGAAGTTTACTTAACTCCCAGAGAGAACGAGACTAGAGGAGGTGCTCAATCTTTGCCTGCTTCGCCACTCTTTCACTTATGTAAAAAAACCATGAAGCATTCCTCAGTTACATTCCTAAATCTAAACAACTCCAGCTGTAGAACCAGGCCAAAGCACCAAGCTCTTCTGAAATGAAAAACCAAATTCTTTGGATTCTGAGCACACAAAATTGAGGAACAATCTGGAAGGTGAGCTTTATGTGTTATGTTTTAAAATCAAAACTAGAAAACCCATAAATTTTCCCCCAGCCCTCCAATTTTTACTTACCTTAACAACACACAGTATTCCTTCGTTTGTGTTTTTGTCAGTTGTAATTTCAAAGGCCTGATCATCATTTCCTCGTATAATTTCATATACTGCTCCTGAGCCAGGTGAACCAGGTTCATCAAGATCAACAACAGAGACTCTCAGTATTTCTACACTCACTCTGTTTTCTTCCACTCGTGTTTCATACTTGGAGTACCCAAAAAAAAAAAAAAAAAGAAAAAAATTATTTAAATCAGAAAATCCCGTTCCACAAGGCAGGACTGAAGAACACCAGATTTAAATAAGACTACTTCAGCTTAAGGGATCAATTTACCATGCTGCTGCAATGATTTGTTTCCATGCATCAGCATATTTTCCCCACTCCTCCCTTATACCCTGCATCAAACAATAAACATTTCCTGACACCACTATTGAAATCTCAGCTTCTTCATACACTCAAACTATCACTGACCTAATTAATTCTGGAATTCTCCTTCCAGGAAAGGCAGATTAGCAGAGTTTCCCTCAGTTATATCAACTATAGACTCTAATTTGCAAACAACGTGATCAAGCTGAGAATTAGAAAAGGCATTGGGGTAAATTTAAAAATATATAAATAAACAAACAAAAAATAACTTGAAGAAAAGCCAAGAAGGATTAAATACCTCTCTACTCAGATGGTAAAAGATGAAACAATTTTTTGTATTTTTTTCATCTTTTTAAAGGGCAGCTTTATTCTGTACAAGCTGAAGAAGATCAGGTAAGAGTGATTCTCAATTAATATTACTGATGATATTCTATAGTAGTGAACAGAAAAGGGTAAATTCCATGTATCCCTTATGAAAAAATGAATTATTTTTTCACAGATTTTATATTACAAAATCTCCTGTGGTATTTGAGATGTGAACATGGTTATTGAGACTTACTCTTTGCCCTGAATCATATACATGGCTAGAATAAGCAAAGACATTTATATTGGCATTAACTATCTCAGGGCATTAGACTCCATATTTGAGGGACTGTCTATCAGGAAATTAGAAAGGGGATGAAAATACTTCATTTTTAGCCTTTACACAGACATTTTACTTATGCAGACTTACTTGTAACTGTTTGAAGGATGGTGCATTGTCATTTGTATCTTCAATTTTGACGACAACTGTTCCTGTAGTGCACAAACCAAAAGGCTGACCTGCCATATCTCTCACTTCGACTAACAAAGTGTAACTGGGTACAAGCTAAAAAGAAGAATAAAAGCACACAGAAGTTTGTCATGCTCACTTTTTTAATTGCATAGCTAAACACAGGAGTAGAACTGAATATTCCACTCCTGCTCCATAACTCTGCTCTAAATTCAGTGCTTACCAACAAAATGGGACAATTAGCTTTGGGGCCTTTTGTGCAATAGCTCAAAAGGAAAAGCAGCAAAATAATCTTCAGTGGCTAAGAAGCACTGAGTTCAACATCTGTTAGTAACATGCATGCTATACCCTGCACCAAATAAAGCTTCTTACAATGTCAGCACTGTTTTCCAGAACCTGAAACTTTGGAAGATACAGATAACACACTTTCATCTGCTATTTGTCTCCCCTTTAGAGCAACAGAGAATTCCCTCAGGTTGCCAGCAGGTGAAGTGTTTCAATTACGTCTCTTATTTCACTGAGGATGAATGAAAACTGTGCTGCAACCAGCCTCTGTCTGGGCAATACAGGATAAGACAATGCCTGTCATTTGGCAGAGTCTGGCACTGAACGACTCAGTGTTCTTATCAGTTCCAAGGGGCTCCTCGATAGGAAGCAGCCCACTTAAATCCCTAACTTGAGCCAGAACAACAGAAAGCTTTTTTTTTTTTTTTAATGTGAACAACCATATGTTTATCTTTCAAAGATAGGCAGTGGACTAGTTTTTCAATCCCTCCTTCCTTCAAGTAGTCACTGCAACAACCTCCTTAGTAGTCATGGTGATGCTCACAAGCACTGCAATTTTCTCTTGCTAAAAAAGCTGACCACTGTATCTGCAAGAGCAAAATTTTGCAACATCACGTTTTACTTGGATTTTCAGTCATGAAACAACACAAGTATGTCATAATATAACTCCTTTTATCTTCAGAAGAGATGCGGCTGTTACAATGTTTCTTAGAATGACTGTCTTATGCTAGAATTATTATTCTGAACTACATGCGCCTGTAATTTATTTTCCTAGTGTAGACTCTGTATGACATTCTATCAAAAAAAAAAAATCCTGTATCTTATTTGCTTGAAAGTTGGTTGATGAAAATAAATGGGTGGCACATCAATTCTAAGAAATGGTGTATTACTGTTTAGGTTTCAACTATTGGAGATATTTCTGGTTAATATAGGATGACTGACTACTTCCATAGAAACTGGTTCATCTTCTCTATGAAGAATCAAGAAGCACTGCAAATCAAGCTTAATTAGGAGGAAACAGTGGGTCATGGAATTCCTGAACACAGAAAGTGTTCAGTAAAAAAGTAAAAATTCCATAGGTTGAACAGCTGAGCAGAAGGAATTTCTCTGCCAAGGTTAGCTAGAATATGGTAATCTATGCAGAAACTCTCTGGACTAATTACAGGTCTCCAAAAAGCATCAGAAAGTCCTTAGAGGCATTAACAAAAAATTAAAAAGAAGCTATGTCTGTTGATTCCCATGCCAGCATTTCATAGAATCATAAAAAGGCTTGGGTTGGAAGGGACTCTAAAGTTCATCTAGTTCCAACCTGCCCATGCCATGGGATTTCACCCCCATGAGCTTCTACCCCCTAAATCAGTTTGTTCAGGGCATTGTACAACCTGGTCCTGACCACTTCCAGGGATGGGGTGTCCACAACCTCTTTGGGCAACCTGCTCCAGTGCCTCACTACCTTGTGAGTAAACAATTTCTTCCCAACATCGAACCTAAATACCTCCTCTTCTAGTTTTAATCCACTTCCCTTTTTTATAAGGCTGAACAACTCCAACTCTCTCAGCCTGTCTTCATAGAGGAAGTGCTCCAACTTTTGGATTTGAACTTCTTCACATCCCTCCTCTGGCCCTGTTCTAAGAGGTCAATGTCCTTCCTGCACTGAGGAGCCCAGAAGTGGATGCAGCCCTGCAGGTGGGGTCTCACAGGGCAGAGCAGAGTAGTGTTAAGCTATCTTTGTGCACGAAATGACAGCTGAGAATGCTTCAGGAAACATCACCTCTCTGTCCAGCTGTGGCAGTAATACAGAGATGACACCGGTGTCACCATGTAAAGAAAATGCTGGGGTAATTGGTGGGGTTTGTGACACAATGCGGTATTTCAGTGTGGTATGGAGAGTATAAGGCTCATCTCTGTCCTCTGCAATCACTTTTCCAACAACAACACCTGTGAACACAATACAGCAATTTTTAGTTCCAGAAAAATCTGTAAATAGTAAAAAATTATTTGAAAAGATATTTCTGTTTTAAACATATGACAAGAGCTACTTGATCATTTACTGCTGCTCTTTGCAAATTCAGCCTTTTCTGAAACATAATACTCCCCAGGAAATCCCACTGAAATGTCTTAAAAGGGAGGATCACACCTAGCCATACTGGTATGTAACAGAGCTGAGTAGTGGTATCTTCAGTGATTTAAAAAAATTCTTACCAGGTCTGGAATTTTCAGGCACACAAAATTCAAAAAGGTCTTGTGTAAAATACGGAGCATTATCATTGTCATCCTCTATCCTGATTGTATGCACAAGTGGTACTTCTGGTGAATAACCATCCGGGGTGGTTGCAAAGCAAATGATCTGTAAGAAAAATTCAGTGCTTAAGTAACATGTAGTATTATTACATTTTTAGTTCAATGGAGGAGTCAATAAAATGAAACGAAATACAGTGTGCAAAGCACATCCTTCTCAAGACCAGGCTCTTAAGGCACGTGGAAGGGGATGTTACTGGTATCTCAGAGTGAGAACAGAACAAAACCTTTGAATGCTTTCCAATCTTTCCCCCACCCATTCCTCACACACTACAAGTACTTCACTCATTTTCCCCCTGACCCCTCCTCCAACTCTATCACTTTTTCCAAGTTTCCTGAACACTTTTTTTCCAGGTGTTTACAAGGCATCACAGCTACCAAAATTTAGATTGTTATTTAGAACAAAACAAGAAGGAGAGCAAAACTATTTGCCGATTAAAGCATAACCTATTAAAATGCAGCAATAGGTACTGAAAATTACATTTTAGAAGCTGCTTCTGCTAATTGCCTTCTTACACTTCTCAGCCAGTAGAGAGAGCAGTGTACCTTGTTAACAGAACTGAACAGCTTGAGAGACTCATGAAACCACAGCCATCTATTTCAGTTTTCTGCACATCTTTTCAACCTTCCCTGAAAATTTGATGCAAACCCAATAGCTCACTATATTCATGCTTCAATTAGAAATTAAGCAGTAAAAAAACCAAAAGTACTCTCAAGATCTAGATGAACAGCTATTTATTTATTTACTACTGATTTTATCTCTTCAACACCAAGGATATTACTCAAAATAGAGATTCCAGATCTTGTTTGCTGCCATTTCCCCTGCAATCCAACTGTCAAATGTAGGCATGAGAGATTTTTTAAAAAAAATAAAAATAAAATCTATCTATCTATCTATACATATATATATATATATATATATATTTAGTCATATTTACACAACATAGGCCTGTACCTGAAAACTTGGATACTGTTCACGGTCTACCGCACGAGTAGCAAAGATATTTCCAGTTTCTCTTTCTATGTAAAACAAACCCTTTGGATCTTGATCAATTCCTGGTCCACTTGCAGAATAATAAATTGTGTAGTTCTGAGCTGTGTCTGACTGGACCTATAAGAAGACATTTTTAAGCCCAAGATAAAACAGCAACATCATCTCAATACATTTCCCCCTTTTCACAATCATATTTAGCACAAACAAAAACTCCTAAAACTAAAAAACAAACTTGATTTACTGTTCACAGAATAGCAGAACAACCTGACATATGACTGCCTTCCTTTATAATATGTGTACATGAGAAGGAAAGTTAATTCAAACTCATAAATATTTATAACCATCAAATTAAAGAAATGACAGTATAAGGAAAAAAAAAAAAAATCTGAAATCCAATCTCTCTAGAATACTTCACACTCAAGGCATATTCAGATACAGACAGCTCATTTCTGAACCAGTTCAAGAGACTTTAATTTTAGTGCATTCACTGAGAATGTGGTTTGCACCTAAAGAAGAAAAAGTGAAGGAAGAAAAGAAGACCACATAGTGTAGAGTTCAGATATATGCCAATTCAGACAGCATCTGCATCTCATCATGAGCACCAAGGAGGCAACATTAGACTTATCTATTTATAAACACTCTTCTCCCAAAATACTTTCCTTATTTAATGGATGCCAGAAGTTAGGAGGGTAAGATTAGGAGAAGAATGATTGCTCTGCACAGACTCTGTTATTATACTTGTCTCTACACATCTGCTACCAGCCACTCTGTAATCTAGTGAAGGCTAGATGGATCCATGATAACTTTAGTTCTTGCATTTCTATTTCACGCCTACTTGTTTTCTCCCAGTAATACTTTTCTGAATAACATAGGCCATACTCCATTTTCAAGGCTGAAGGTACACACCTCAAGCTCCAGAAAGGATGTAGGCAAGCAGGCAAAATTTACCCCAGTCTGTATTTACAAAATCCTTTTCTAAGCAATGTTTAGTGGAAGATTGTTTGCTATTGCTTTTCGTTTAATTACACATACTGATCTCCAGGCCAAAGAGCTCTCTTAGAGAGTATGTCTCCCTTCTTTTTTCAACTTTTGCACAATTCCATTTCACTCCAACAACTAAGATCACAAATTATTTCAGATACAAGATAATGAAATATACAATGAACAGGGTGGAAAAAGACAGAGAAACATTAGCAGGAATGTCATAGAATCGGTAGAGAATACAAGACAACTCGTTTTCTTCATCATAAAAGTCACATACAATACTACCATAGTCATAAAATTAAGGCTCATCCAAAATGTACCTGCTGTATTTGCAGTGGGAAAGGTCCCAGTGAGTTCTCTATCATGACAGATGGAATAGGGCCCCATCTTCTTTTGGTTCTCTTGAGAACTGTGTCTCTAGAATGCCTGGTCTTCGGTGTCTGGGTCGAGAAGATAGAAAGACAGATAAGAATACATCCATATATTCTTAACTGCATATATTTTTTGCTTAACTGCCATCTGCATTTCCATCTTTTTCCATCCATGCAAGTCTTCCTACTGACAATTTGTTTTTCCAAGGTCTTAATTTCTGATTATATCTGTGATAATATTCCAAGCTTTTTCATTTCTTGTAACACTTTGCATGACTAAGATCTGCTTTAATTCCTCAAACATGGCTTTTAAGATTCTTGACATTCCTGATTATGCTACTTGCTAGCATCTCCCATTTGAGAAAGCAAATCTGCTGACTAAAGCAACACAGTAATCAACAACTGCTAAATAAAAACACATTCTACACCACTATTTTGCCTGATTATTTGAATTCTAAAATTCAACTACACATACTTAGTATGAAGCTGCACTCTGTGAAAAATAATTAAGATATCTTGAAATGAGAACCTAACCTTTTTTTCTTTTTCCACCAAGCTAACGTGTATTTTCTTTTCAACTTTTTCTTGAATGTCCTTAAGTAATATGGTAAAAGTCTTTTTCTCAGCAGACAAAGAAAGAGCAGATGTTGTATACACAGAACCATCCTCTAGAACCTTGAAGTTCCCATCACTGGAAGTGATAAACTCTGCAGACTGAAGGCATTCTTGCAAATCAACTATAAAAAAAAAAATTATACAATAACTCAAACAGCAAAAAACAATACCCCTCACAGAACAAAGAAACCCCAAGCCCCACGTAAAAATTTTATTTACTGACAGAGTCTTCAAAACCATCTGAGCATTCAGTATTTAAGCATCACAAATCCTGATTTTAAAATCCACTTATGCACTCACATTTGATGAAGTTTTCATTAATTGCTACTCTTGTGTTCATTAGTGTTTCCTAAACGACATGGGTGCTTTATGGATATCACTCAACAAAACATTATTACCCTGGTAAAATTATTGAAGAATCAGAGATGAAATTATGTACATTTAAATGCAAAAACATTCCAGACATGCCCATTATTGGACCAGTAGCTATTACGTCTGCCTCGTGCTCCATGCCCTACAATATCGGTGAAGACGATTAATTAATGCAAATGCCCAATGGAGATGTTACATCTTGGAAGATTTGCCCTCAGGAGGAAAGCACTAACTGGTACTATGTGATTTAATACTCTTGGGAGGACAAAGGCTTTTAAATTATGAGGCAGACAGATGGGAGAGATAAAGACTAACTCTAGAACAAACAATTAGCAATTTTTTAATATGCATGTGATAGAATCCCATACAGGTAATTTCAGCATACTTCCCAGCTATTTTTCATAGTATTCACTATCACTTGCAGCTAAAACATATTTTTTGTACTTCAATGAACTCAGTTCACTAGCAAGTAGTTTAGCACTACAGCTGGAGAAAAAGCAAAGTCAGGATATGACCACAGCCCTAAGAAAAAATTATTTGCACCCTGAAAAGGATGAAAATCAGAGATTCAAGCTCCAAAGAGATGATCATTGCAGAGTACAAGAGGTGTCTCATGGTCTCAAAATCAAAACTGTTCAATACTCTTTCAATGGTATCATAGTGGGTGGGACACTGCTGTATGAAAGTTGATTGCAAAATTCATGAAGATTCAGAATTTCATCCCGTATATGACATTTTCAATAAACTAAATTTAATTTCACTTTCAAAACTGCAAAAATAGATGGGAAGCATAATTTTAAATATGATGTGGTTTCTTCTTAAGTCTTTTAAATGCACAAATAAAGATTTCCTAGACCTTCTATGGTACTGCAGAAGTGACTCCTATATTTTTTCATCTGTACAGTGCAAATGAAGTATTGAAAAGAATATCACTGCCTCACTTAAAAGTGCCTCATACTGCTGCCTATTACAACATTGCATTTCAAAAATTACCAGACTGGAGATATTGTTCTGATGGTTATATGAGTCAACCCTTTGGTTGGTTAGCTGTAGTTTTGTGGGGTTTTTATTCTTTCAAAACTCTTGTATAATGTATAAAGTACCCTTATGACAAGCTGGAAAAGCCTGACTAATTTCACTGTCAAGGTATGGTCCTTGTATCAATGTAAAATATTTCTCCATAAATGCTTAAGTGATGTCATTTAAGCTATAATGGTTTCATTAAAAGTTTTTTGGGGAAAAAAATTAAGTTCCACATTATGCAATATTTTTTAAAGCACCGCAAGAACATGAATTTTAGTTTTTATATTAATTAAGTTTACTTACATAGAGAAATGTTAAAGTCTATGAAAACTCACATATCTTTAGCAGCCTTCTTAGTTTTAAAATTTAAAAGTAAGATCAAGGAATTTTCACTATAAAGCTAGATTTTCTAGGCAATTGTGATAAACTACAAATTCACTTTATTTGTTCCTTCTATAGAAATACGGATTAGGACTGCAGACTTGAAGCATACTTCTCCATTGTCATTAGACTCACAAAGGGCACTTTTGAATCCTCAAAATCAGTCTCAGGCAGGACAGAATCCTTCAGCACCTCCTATGCCACACCCTTCAAAGCTGCCTTTGAAAGACTGGTCTGAAAAAAATAGGAGTGGGATGTTTTCTGGTCTCTACTCCTCTCAGTCACCAGCAAGCTGCCCTAAACTGAGGCAGACTGTCCAGTCAGACAGGAGCACTCTCCCAAGAGAATGTGCATGCAGGACACCTCTGCAACACATCCCCTCGTGTGCTCTGAGTGCCCCAGCACTGCTGAGCAGTCACATCCGTGCTCCACACAACAGCAGCCTCTTGGTGCCTGGTTAAGCGGGTTTTTGTCTTCTTTTTTTATCATTTCCTTTGTCAAATGATTTATTCTCCTCTTCATATGACCGTGGGTTACAGGTGAGGTTTGGAATGTCAAGCATTTATTTAAACAGTAAGTTTTACGCTCCAAATTTTGAAAACATTAAATTCTGCCATTTGAGTTTTAAATTAAATCCTGTAAACTGACAATAGTTCTTTATGCAAAAGTCAAATGGATGCATGGAGCTGGTGTTCAAATTCATAACAAACACAGGGCGTATCCTTCATAAAAAGGCTGATCCAGCTGTTTAGCTGGCTCTCCAGTCATCCATTCATTCCATTAAAAATAAAGTCACCTCCACTGCTACCAGCATCTCCAGCAAAGGTGCAATGCTGTGTTGTTAAGCTGGGAATTTCATGGTTTCTCTCACCTCTGCCAACTAACGTGTCGGCCTCTAGTTCAGAAGGAACATGAAAAATTACGTTCTTGCAAGCTTCACAGCACAAACTCAGCACCTAGAAAACAAATGAAGAAATAGGAAAAAACCCACATAATTACATGGTATTTTGAACTAGACACAGATGCTGACTTTGGTTGATTTGTTTTTTTGTTATGACAAACAAGTGAAACAGCACATAAAGCACTCCTCCCTAAATATTCAGGTACTGTGCAGCACAGCATACCAAGTTTCAAACTGGAAACAAGGTCTGACTACTGCTCCTGGATTTGTCCATGGTTTGTGTTTAATTTTTTTCTAAAATCACTGCACCACTGACAGTGGTTCCTTTGAGTTCCCTTTCACTAGAAGATTTTGCCTACACTATTACTTCAGTTGAGAAAACATAAAATACAGCTTGGATGTACGCTCCCTCAAACAGCTTTCCTGGCCAATTTAGATCCAAGGTCTCTAAATTATTAAGGTTTAATCCATCAACACTCAGTTTGGTAGAATTGTGGTGATGCTGAACATTAAAGGGACAAGTGTCTCATTAAAACCACATGACGACACTTGCACTTATATATCACTTTGCATCTTAAAAGTGCATTCTCAACAAGCTAATTAAATGTAGCTTCAGCAATTAGATATGACATAAATAAATCCACTCCCATATAACCAGTTACAAAATAGGGTCCTCCTAAAAATTCAAATGAGTAGCAGATAACCAGACCTTTTTCTAAAAAGAATCACACAGAGGTACAAAGATTTTCCTCAGCAGAGAGCAAGTGAATCCTGATCTCAGATTATATGTGAATGTTTCTGCCTAGTTTCTATCTCCATCTTTAAAACTGCAATCCAAATATCACACAGACTATTAAACAAAGACATAGAAAAATGTAAATAAATCTATTCACCCTTTAAAGTGCCTCTACTCATTTAGGATGAAAGCCTAGCAAAAAAGGAAAAGCATTTTTATTTTGCACATACTTTTAGGATTAAAGGTATAAAGAGGCAAATAGGTAATGGAAATCCTGAAAATTACTTGTGATGCTTATTAAGAAAATATTTTAATAAAAATACTCTAAAGTCTTAAGGACCCTTTAAAAAAAAATTGCTGTGTCTGCACCATAAAAGCTCGTCATAGAGTTCCTTATATATATAAGTAGATATAAAAATTGCATATATACAAATAATTTAAACATCCTTGCTTATGTATTAATAGCCTTTCCTTATTAGCAGACACTTAATAAAACACTCTCTCCTGAAAGACACGGCACTAATTTTTAAGTTATTGAAATCACAACATCTTTTTACACTGTTCTGAAATATTTTAGGAATCAATGACATCTAATTTTTAAATAGTAACGCAAATCCCAGTCTGATGTCGGCACAAAGAACTACTGATGAGTTAAACAAATATAAGTGGTAGTTATTCATGGACATCATCAAGACATAAGAAAACATCAGTAAAAATAAGTTGTGATGTCCTTTCACTTTACACAAAGAAAACAACTCATGATTTTTTTTTTTCTTTGAGTGTTGTTTGTTTTTTTCTGCTTGACGAAAGAATTTTTTTCTTTTTTTTTTATTAGATGTATGAGTAAAGCTGCTTTCATTTATTTGGATTTTACTTTAACATCCTTGCAAAGGCAAGCACACGCTGTCTGAAATAGTAACTTTTTCATTTCAATGTGCATATACAACTAAGATTAAAATAACAAATTCAGTACTTCAACATTAGCAAGTATTTTTCTTTCACAGGCTCAAACGATCATCTGCCCTATTTTTGTGAATGCAATGTTAATAAGGAGGAAGAGGGCTAGGAAACAAAAGAAAATCACTTTTACTCATCTACTACAAATTTTAAAAAAATAAAACGTGAGAGAGAATTCCCCTGCTCTCCCTGCCAAAGGCCTTTCCGGAGCTGATAATTATGTACAAATACAATAAACTGAAGTTAAAGGAAATCGCTGAAAAGTCTCGGACGCACAACTAACTCTTTCAGAGAAGCTCAACACGCTCCACACTGCGGCACAATCCTTCCCACAGAAAAGGGAGAACCAGGTGGGGAGAGGCAGAGGGGGAGATTTAAATAAAATTAACCGCGGTATTTTTATTTTTTTTTTTTTCTATGAATAACCAGCATCAGCATCAGCGACCCGAGCGTGTGCCCGTCGCGTAACCTCACGGCAGGCTCCAAAAGCCACCCGACCACCTGTCCCAAGGAGAGCCTCGCATCCCACTGGATTCCTGCCGGCGCCCAAGCTCCCCCGAGCTGCGTCCCGCGGCCGCGCAGCCTCCGCGCCGCTCTGCGCCCCTCGCAAGGGCCTCGCCGAGGAGAAACCCGACTTGGGGTCAAGAGCCAGCCAGAGATCACCCGCTCGGATGTCTCTGCTGTGCGCTGCGCGCCCGCGGTGCAGCGGAGGAAAGGCGCGGCCAGGTGAGTGAGCTCCGCCGCGCTCCCCCCGGCGCCCACCCGCTCATCCCATTCATCCCACTCGCGATCCCAGCGATCCCGCTCCTTTCCTCCCTCACTCACCAGGAGGCCGAGGACGAGGCAGGGGGCTGCGGGGGCCATGGTGCGCGGGGCTAGGCGGGAAGGGGGGAGCCGCCGCCGTCGGTGCTGCCACGGCG